AAAGTAAAGGAGAAATCTTAAACGAAGGATATATTACATATAAGAATGACCCATAACGTATATGTGATAGGTCAAGTGAACGAGGGAAGAAATCTCGTATGAATCTACATAGGTGAGACTTATGTAAAGTTATTAAGTGATTAGATATACATCGAGTACAATGGACAGAAGACACTCCGAGTCACAACATAGCTTGATATCATTTTCGTATTAATATTTATATTATGTTATTATTTGCTCATTGAGTGACGTCTCACCCCCGTCAATATTTTTCCCAGATGAATAGCTAAAATGGGTGAAGGCCATGGGACGAAGCAAGTTAGAGTTTGACATCAATGAGGTGGGCGGAAGGCTGAACTCTCCACAATGTTTTCTACGGGAAATTTGAAAATGGGTTTTTCCCAGGAAAAAAAACCCCAAGAGTTTGAGGATTTTGGTAAATAGTTGACGATGTGCATACATTTTTATGGGTTTTAAATGGAGAAAAGCAGTTGGGTGTTACATCTCCAGCAATAGTCCTCTCTCTTCATGGAAGATTTTACACACATTCTTCTTGATAAGGAATCCGAGACCCCTTTCCAGCAGATGTCTCATGCTCAGCAGGTTGGTCTTCAAACCAGGTACAAAGAACCATAGTTAGTAAATACTCCGTTTAATACACGTATATGTACCCGTACGTACTTTATCCGTTTAAAACTTCCGTATCCGTATTTTTGTCAATCCGTTTCATTTTTGTCCGTTCATTTGGTGGCTCCCATACTAAACACGTATAAAATCCGTATAACACGTTTTATATCCGTATTTAATGAATTAAATTGTTAACTTTATTATTTATTTATTTATTTATTTATTTTAAAAAATAATTTATTTTATATATTTATGACTATTAACGTACTATTAAACGTAACATTAGCTTAGAGATGAAGTAAAATACTCGTACGTATTATATCCGTAACTTTCCCGTACCGTATTTTACTAACTATGCAAAGAACACATCTTGAATCACTAGGTTTTGCTTTCCCAACTGCAGCTTCACTGTCCCTTTACCAACCACATTCAATCTGCTATTATTTCCCAGTCTCACTTTGCCTGTATAACTGGTATCAATACCCTTTGTTACCACTCATGTGGTTACTGCAACCCGAGTCCAGAAACAACCAGTTCTCAATTTTCTCCAAGTGAGCACCCTCAAGGAAAGCCATTAATAGAACATCATATTTGTCATGTCATTGTGAGCACTAGAGCAGCGAGCCTGTTGATTTGTGTACCATTCAGGACATTCACTTCAAAAGTGCCCCAACTTGTGACACTTAAAACATTCAACATGCTCCCTATTCCAGCCTCTACCTCCTCTGCCTCTTCCCCTTCCTTGATAGCCACCCCTGCTTGTTCCTCTACCTCCATAATTACTAGAGACCCTCAATGCCTAATCCTCCTCAACCATAGACTTCTGATGAAATTTCTGCTCATGCACAAGCAGAGAGCTTTGCAGAGCATCCACAGAAAGAGTCTCAATATCTTTGGACACCTCAATCAAACACACAAAATAATTGAATCGTTCTATCAGTGTTTTAAGTATCTTTTCAACTATCTTGACATCAGACATGTCTTCCCCACAATTTCTCATATCATTAGCTACCACCATAACTTTGCTAAAATATGCATTAACAGTCTTACCTTCCTTCATTTCAAGAAACTCAAAGGTTTGAGCCTGCAACTGAGCCTTCTGGACATGAGCACTTCCCTGAAATTTTGTCTTCATAGCATCCCATAGTTGTTTGGCTGTAGCTTTAGTGATGATTGTCTTGGGAATGGTCTTGTCAATGGAATTGTACAAGTAATTCTTGGCCTTCAGGTCTTTGAGTTTAAGATCATCAAGACTCTTACTCTCAGCAGCAGACAACTCCAACCCAGTAGCCAGCGGCGGATCTAGTATAGCACTTGTAAATTTTTGATTTTTGGTGTTCGTTTCAGTGTTCGCTGTGTTACAGCCCAGCCTTCTCTGCCTTTTTCCAATGTGGCCCAGTGCTCTACCCAATCCTGGATCCGCCTCTGCCAGTAGCTGGTTCCCGGTAGCCTTCACTGACTACACTCCAATACTCCTTGGAACGAAGGAGATTCTCTATCAACAGGCTCCAGTGGTCATAGTTTCCATCAACTTTAGATAGACCTACTTGAGCAAATCCAACAACATCACTCATGATTGTAGAACACACAAAACAGCCAAACAACGTTGGTTTCACTCACTAGGTAAATAATGTCCTCACCAAATTCTCTCGCGTTTCCCAGACCCAGATCTAGCACGCTATCGCTCTCTTTCACACTCAACACTCTTACACTCAAATCTCGATTTAACAATACTGGTTACAACTTGTAAGTGCTCTGATACCACATGAGAGAAATTTTACAATGCTATATAGTATTGGTGCTATAGGTTTTTGTCTTGATGGTACAACTCAAAATTGTACATTTACGTATGGTACAACTTCAGATTGTACCTATACTTTTTGTACAAATTCTTTTATGGTACAACTTGAACTTATACCTTTATGTGATGGTACAACTTCAAGTTGTAAAGTTGTACCATAACATAAGGGTACAAATTGCTTTATGGTACAACCTAAACTTATACATTTAATGTTATGGTACAACTTTAAGTTGTACATTAAAGCACCAATACTATATAGCATAGTAGAAGTGCTCACCACATGAAGAACACAAATGAAGCAATTTGACAACCTTTTATTTTATTTTTATTTTTTATCCAAGATAAGCCCCCAGGGCATGGCCGGACAACAACAATAAAACAAAACAACAATAATGAACGGTAGTCCGTAAACAACCAGACTCCCGATGAAAGAGCCTGTTATGCCACGAGTTGGCCAGCTCTGTGAACGCTCCGAAAAGCAAAAAAGACACGAAACTGACACAAGGTGAGAGAAAAGAGAAAGAGAAACTCCCTTCATAATGGAGTCTTCCTCTCTGAAGCATCTCCAATGATCAGTTGATAATTTCCTCATAAGAAAAGCACAAGACATAATGAGTGAGTCATCATCTAATAGGCATCACTAATAAAATGTATAGTTTAACAAGAGCAAATGACCTTAACTGATAACGTGATGAGGTTGATTGCTCGTTCTTCATGTAACTTAATTAATATAAGGTTACTCTGCAATGAGGTGAACTCAAAAAGATCCACTATAGTACTAGAAATCCATATCTAAAGATATTATAATCTACCATTTTTTTTGGTCGGAATATAATCTACCATTTAGAAAGATGCATAAGTATTTATTATTTTTACCAAAATAAAAAAATGAAAAGAATTAATTACCCAGTTTTTATTAACCCTTATGGCCTTATCCTTTCCGTTCTCCTCCATCGAAGTCCGCCATTCACCATCGTCCATTCAATAGCAAGAAACCCACACCCCTTACATCCATTCCCTCTCCAAATCAATTGCTACCATTGTGTAAAAAAATCCCTCCCACAACCGCTTCTTCACAACGAGCACGGTATTACTGTTGCAAATTTCATTCATCCTCATCATCCCTCTCGTCAATCCCTAAACTTCCTATCATCGCCGTACCCAGAATCCCGAAACTGTCCGGTCAAGGATTAGATCTTTATGTGGTCCAATGACAAGGAGACGGAGAAAAAAGAAATGAGAAGAAAGGCAGGCAGACTGTCAACGATCTATCAGCTGGGGACTTCGTCGAGGAGGACTGAAGAGTAGCCAAACCAGGAGGACTGGTCAACGGCGACCTGGGCGTGAACGGATACGACGTTGTTGACCTGGAGCTTCGGTGGGTGGGAAGCTGCAGCTGTGGGTGGGAGGTGAATGACCAAGTCTGGGTGTGTTCGTCAACCGTGGTTGGCGCCAGTTTCTGTCGATGGTTCCAAGAGGCGGTGCACAGAGGGGAGGATAAATTAGGGTTCATGAAAATCAATTTGGGGGAAATTTCACGGGTATGATTGAGAAATATGCGAATGGGTGAACGACACAGGTAGGGATTCGAGTGAAAGAGAACGGGACAGGGGAGGGATGGTGGAGGCTGAGCATTTTTGGGGTTGGGAGGGATGACTTGAAGAGAACATGATCGCTGATTTGCTGGGGAGGCAGGGATGGCGGTAGAGCATCTTAGGGTTTTTTCTTATCAAGATCTTGGGGGTTTAATTAGGGTGAAGTGATTTTGGTGGTTTTTCTTTTTTAATTTATTTTTAAAATAATTATTTCTTTGCCACATCATGAATAATATTCCAACTCAGCAATTAAATTGCCACGTCATAGTCAACTAACGGTCAACAGGATGGAAAGTTAACGGTTTGGTTATTATTTTGTTTTTCGAAAGATTTGGTTATTATTTTGTTTAAAATGAAAGATTTGGCTATTAAATTGTATTTACCCTAATTTTAGTGGCTAACGTGAATTTTACTAGTAATTCAAGTGAGCAAACTCGAAGTAAAATCAACAACACTGACCATTTATATATTCCCAATTTCCCATATGGCAAACTAACAAAAAACAAACCTCACCAAGATAATTGTAAAAGATAAAAATAAAGGACAAATTCAAAAGACAAGAAACCACCTAAACTTGTTTCCTTTGGCACCACATCGGTCGATGCTAAGTGAAATAAGATACCTTTGGTCATTCAGAAGGACAAATGTGACTCTCAGTTTCACCAAGAAAAAAAAGGACAAATGTGACCGTCTTTAGTCACTGCGCCAATAGTCCAGAAAGGATCAACACCGGCCATGCGACAATCCGCTTCCTTCCACCGCCAGCGGCCGGCCGGCCGGCAGGCGGACATCCCAACTCCGCTTAGTATAAATAACCCCCGCAGCCCCTCAAACGAATTACATCGCCACCGGCCAGAAGGGAAAATATGGGGTCAATCGATCATCAAGCAATGGCAATAGTGCAAGAAGAACATCAGCAGCAGCAGCAGCAGCATTTGGTGTTCATCCCATTCCCATCCGCCGGCCACCTCGTCTCCATGGTGGAACTCGCCAAGCTACTCGTCCACCGCCACTCCACCCTCGTCATCTCCCTTGTCATCATCACCTCCCCCTCCACCGCCACCGCCGCCGTCACCCGCTACGCCGACTCACTCGCCGCCGCAGCCACCCCGCGCGTCAACCTCCTCCGCCTCTCCGGCGAGGACGACCCTTCCCTTCCAGCCGCCAATGCTCTCTCCGTCATCGCATCTCAAAAGACACGTGTCAGAGATGCCCTGCTGGAGTTCACCCCGGCGGCTCGACTCTCTGGGTTCGTCCTGGACATGTTCTGCACCTCGATGCTGGACGTGGCGGAAGAGTTCGGCGTTCCCCCGTACCTTTTCTTCCCCTCCGGCGCCGCTTTTCTCGGCTTCATGTTCCATATCCAGGAGTTGCACGACGAGGAAGGATTCGTCGCCGCCGAGTCAACAGGAGTTGAGTTGGTTTTCCCGGGTTTGGCCAACCGGCTTCCGGGGAAGGTCTTGCCTTCAGGTTTTCTGTACGAGGAATGGGCGGTGGCGTCGTACAGGATTGCAAGGGATTTCAGGAAAACGAAGGGTATTTTGGTCAATACGGCGAAGGAATTGGAGTCATATGCGCTCGAGTCTCTCTCCAAGACGGAGAACCCGAAGGTGTATCCGGTGGGACCCATTTTGAACCTGAAGCCCGAATCGTCATCCGAGTCGAGCGGATCAGAGGAGGATGAGGTGATGCGATGGCTGGACCAGCAACCGGAGTCATCGGTGGCGTTCCTCTGCTTCGGGAGCATGGGAGGGTTCTGTGCGGAGCAGGTGAAAGAGATTGCTTGCGCTCTGGAGGGCAGTGGCCATAGGTTTCTGTGGTCCCTGCGTCGACTCGAAGGAGGACCGGCGCTTACCCCGACAACAACTGATTACGGGGATGTTAGGGAGGTTCTGCCAGAAGGGTTTGCTGATCGAACGACGGAGGTCGGAAGGGTGATAGGATGGGCTCCACAGGCGGCCGTGCTGGCTCACAGGTCCGTCGGAGGGTTCGTGTCACACTGTGGGTGGAATTCGACCCTGGAGAGCATGTGGTTTGGGGTGCCAATGGCCACATGGCCAATGTACGCGGAACAACAATTCAACGCTTTCTTGCTGGTAAAGGAGCTGGAGATCGCCGCAGAGATCAAGATGGATTACCGAACTGAGAGTGGAGAGATCGTATCGGCCGAAGAAATAGAGAGAGGAATCAGGAGCTTGATGGAGCAAAACAACCCGATGAAGGAGAAGATGAAAGAATTTTGTGACAAGGTCAGGGGTGCGCTGATGGATGGTGGATCTTCATCGTCTTCAATCGCTGAATTTATTGAAGATATCAAGATCAATTATCGAAGCGAAAGCGGAAAGATTGTAACGACTGAAGAAGTCAAGAGAGGAACCAAGAGCTTGATGGAGCTAGCAAAACAACTCGATGAAGGAGACGATATATGAAGGAATTTCGTGATAAGATCGAATATGCATTGATGAATGGTAAATCTTCCTTATCTCCGATTACTGAATTTGTTGGAGATGTGGGTAGTGACAGTCTGTTGGCCTACAATGTGGTTGAATTTAAAATACCTCCATTATTATTATTATTATTATTATTATTATTATTATTATTTATTATTATTTATAGTAGTAAAGAGGGGTTGTATGGATACTGTTTTTTAGAGCAAATCAAATGATGTTCTTGGTTCTACTAATGACCTAACTTTGCTATTGGTAGTAATATAGGTTTTTGTGTAATGATATTGGGTGTTGTAAGTAGTAACTACAAGTGGTTTTTGGATTGGTATTGATTTTCATGTATTGTCAGTGGTTTTGTTAGGCAACCAGAGAAAATGTAGATGTCAAAGGCCGAGGAAGTACAAAATGAAGTTGATCGGAGGAAGGCGCGAAAGCAGAAGTAGAAAGATACAAAAATAAAATTTTAGTTTTTAAGAAGTTGATTTCGCAAATGCAATTAGTACAAATGTGATTTACCTTCCCGTATGTAAATTAATGGATGTTGGGATTTACAAAATCCAAAGGGCCAAATTACATGTTTAGTCACTCAAATTATATAAATCTTTCACGTTTGCCACCCAAATTACTTTTCTTTCTTATTCACTACTAACTTTACGAATCGTTTCACCGTTAGTCATTGGCCGTCCAATTCCGTTAAAATCATCCTACGTGGCAGTCAACTAAACCCTTTGACCGTCTTTTTGATGACGTGGCAATTATTAAATAATATAAAAATATATATTAATTTTAAAATTAAAAATTATTGCTATCTTCAGTCCACTTCTTCCTCCCAGAAACACTTGTCCTTTTTGCTAAAAAAAAACACTTATCCTTGAATTCAATCGAACTCCTCATTGAGCTTCAGTTCATATCCAGATCTAAGGCAGAAAAATAGTGTGAAGCGGTGGCGTGGTGCTACTGGAGATGAAGAGACCGGACTTCTGTGTAGGCCACACTTCAATCTGCTACCAATTCCTTCCCCCAATTCTTGTTGCTGCTGCTGCTGTCGCCGTCAACATCTCCGACTTGTTTGTGGACGCATTCCCTTCTCGTGAGCTTTGCTCGTTGCCCGGTGATTTCCTCACCTGCCGAACTTGAGGAGTCGAAACTGTGAGGTGAGTAGAAATAATTTGATTTGGAGTCAAAGTAGCTCAATTAAAGGTTTTTGCTGCCGATCAGAATGTAATTGCAAGTGGAATCATTAAAGTCAAAAGGATTGTAGGTGGATTGTACCCATGCAGTAGAACCACAAGAGATGCAATACGACGCAGTACAGGAATGCCTTGCATTCATGAGTCCGGTCTCTTCATTTCCAGCAGTACCGCCGCCACCGTTCCGCAGCGGATAAGTGTTGCTGGGAGGAAATTAACACACTGCTGCTTCTCGGTGCAGTACCGCTTCCATATCTTCTCGATCACTGGACGACGGATTTGGGAGGGTCGGAAGGGGTCGGGGAGTCGGCCTGCCGGCGGTGACGGCGTCCCAGTCGGCAGCCCGGAGGTTCCCGCGGTTGACGGCGAACCACTTCTCGCGGTTGGCCTTGATCAGCTCGACGGTCTCCTCCCTCGTCCAGCAGGGCGGAGGGACTTTTCTGGCGAAGGATTCCGGCGCTGCTACGGCCGTCGCCGTTCCACAACGGATATGAATTCATTATTCATAAAGAGTTCTATTGGATTCAAGGATAAGTGTTGCTCGGAGGAAGAAGTGGAAGAAAGGTGAAATATTTTTTAATTTTAAAATTAATATATATTTTTATATTATTTTGTAATTGCCACATCATCAAACTAACGGTCAAAGGGTTTAGTTGACTGCCACGTAGGATGATTTTAACGGAATTGGACGGCCAATGACTAACGGTGAAACCATTCGTAAAGTTAGTGGCGAATAAGAAAAAAAAGTAATTCGAATGGCAAATGTGAAAGATTTATATAATTTGAGTGCTAAACGTGTAATTTAACCAAATCCAAAGAATATGCAAACTAGGAATGGCAATGGGGCAGGTCCGGGGCGGGTTTCTTGGTACCCAGACCCGCCCCGTGGGAGGTCGGGTCCAGGTCGGGTAATTGATCACGGGTCGCGGGTCGGGGCAGGCCGACCCAATGGGTATGCAATTTATATGAAAACATTAGAAATATACGTTATTTTTATTATAAGACTAAGAAAACAAACAATATTATGACAATTGTAGTTAAATTATTGGAGAAATTGAGGTTTTTACTAATTTACAACTTTATTATAGCTAAGATATGATGCAATAAAAGGAAAATTCTAAGTAATTTGACTAAGATTACATGTAATTTAGACCAGAACGGGTCAAGAATGGGACGGGTCAGGGCAGGTCGGGTCGATGAGACTACCCATACCCGCCCCGCCCCGCCTACAGGGCGGGTCGGACCCGCCCCAAAACAGGTCAAACAGGTCAGGTAAAACGGGTCAGGTCGAAATTGCCATCCCTAATGCAAACTATCCTTGATTCTACCTCAATGAGGTTGGCACTATATCCTCTCTCGATATACTTACTTGCCTAATTTGACTTTAACAAGGGAATAATGAGGTAAACAACTCCTTTAAACGAACGTTATAGATAACTCTGCTAAAGATACTAATGTATTCAACTATTATTGTTGAACCGTGTCCCTCCTTGTACATTCTATTTACTTTGAGGACCTTTTTGGTTATTTGTCTTGTAACCTAATTACCCATGGAGATTAGTTGACGGGGTATATTAGGAGTTGAGGTTTGCTTTGCCAAACCAACTCTCATATGTGCAGCATGTATACTGCAATGAGAAATAAAAGAACCTGAGAGCTTCGACTCTCCATGGAGTAGTCTCGTTCACATCGAACGGGGAAACCATGTGAATCATTATGTTGTGCTTCCGCGTTTAGTAGATTTTTACATGGTATCAAAGCATGTTGTGATCTAAACCTGTTCTCGCAACTATGACCTAATGGGGAAGATGGAGGTTCGGGTTGCAAGCCCGTCGTCACCGACGTGGATACCATTGCACTAACCTCGCCACCCTATCTCCACCCGCCAGGAAATCCATGCCAATTATTTGGGAGCGATGAATGATTCTAATTACAACGAATGGGTTAACAATACAACGGAAACCCTAATTATCAAGAACAAGTTGGTGTTCGTTGATGGTAGTTTTCCTCATTCCAAAGCGGGTCCAGGAGTCAGGGATGATGCTTGGGGACGTTGTGACGCTACGGTGAAGGGATGACTGAAGACAACCATGAGCAAGTAAGTAAGAAATAGTGTCCGGCCAGCCAAAACAGTGCGTGACATATGGATGGATCTCCAGCAACGGTTTGGAAAGGGTTCAGCGGGAAGAGCTTATGAACTTCATAGAACGATCGGCTCATTGCGATAGGAAAAGCTTTCTGTGTCTTCCTTCTATACCAAGCTCATAACCTACTGGGATGAGCTTCACTCGGTCACTATAAACCCACGTTGTACTTGTGGTACCTGTACATGTGATGTTGAGAGACGGACAAGGGAGAAGGAGGAAACATAGCGCCTGTTTGATTTCTTGCTAGGGTTGGACGATGCTTTTTTGGTTGTACGTTGGCAAATCCTAAGCGTTAAGCCAACACCATCTTTGGCAGAGGCTTATCAGCTGGTTGTGGCTGATGAGCAACAGCTACACATCACAAGTGGCTGTCGTCCGCCGATTGAAGCAGCAACATTCCAAACTTGTCGCGAACGAGAAACTGAAGAGGAACCTCTTCGTTGTAGTCATTGCAACAAGAAAGGCAACACGAAGGAGACATGTTTTAAACTGATTGGGTACCCAACTAATCAAGGAAAGAGTCATCAAGGAAGACTGATGGGAAGCCACAACCGCGTGCAACAAACGTGGAGGCTAAAGAGAGTCCAATCCCAGGTCTATCGGCAGCTCAGTTTGATCAATTGAAACAACTACTGACGCTGCCCGCACCTCCAGTTTCATAATCTACAGCACACATGGCTGGTAATTCTCATGTACCTCTTGAATGGGTCATCGATTCAGGATGTAGAGCATATTGTGCATGACTCTAGTTGGCTAGATAAGGTGAGTACTAAGGACTATCATTCGCCGGTTCGCATTCCTGATGGCTCGAGTGTGTCGGTCCTGGTATAGGATCCGCACAATTGGGTCCTCACCCTGCCGCTTAACCGCGTCCTGCTTGTGCCTGCTTTCAAGTGTAATTTGTTTTCAGTCAGTCACTTGACAAAGAACAATGTTGTGACATTAACCTTTTTTTGCTGATCTTTGCGTGATTCAGGACTCACACTCCAAGACTATGATGGGACTGGGTCATCTTCGTGACAGGTTGTACTACCTTCGGAGATTCGGGGAGCTGGGAGCTCGTGTTGATGATGGGATTCCTACCGGATTTGCCGGAGCATCCAATAAAGTCACGTCGGAGCTCTGACATGCGAGGTTTGGGCACCCCTCCTTCGAGAAGTTTCGAGTTTTACATTCTTGTTTGTCTTTGTCGGATTCCGAACACAAGATGCAACATTGTGATTCCTGTCTTTGGGCTAATCTCACTAGAGCGCCTTTCATTTCACACTCGATTAAGACCCTTGAGTGTTTTGAGCTTGTTCATATGGATATTTGGGGAGGTTATCATACTTCTGCTTTGGATGGATCTCGTTATTTTCTAATGATAGTGGATGATTTTAGTCGCGCTATATGGATTTATTTGTTGAAGTTTAAGTCAGATGTAGAGCGATACGTCCAGTTTTTCTGTCAGATGGTGCAGACACAGTATAAAGGCCAGGTGTGTCTGATTCAGACTGATAATGGCTTGGAGTTTCAGTCTGTGGGGCTACTGAAGTATTATGAGGATAATGGTATTTTACTTCAGACTTCGTGCATTAACACGCCACAACAAAATAGGATGGCAGAGCGTAAACATCGTCACCTTCTTGAAACAACTAGAGCCCTC